GGCCCAGACTAACACTGCATACTGAATGTGCAAGTATCCGGTAGAGGGAGGTCGTAACAGGATCAGCTGTGGCTTTAATTGCGACGATACATTCAAGAGAATTTTAGCTATTACAAATGAATACAAATTAATGGATTACCTGCTCTTCTTTTTACTTATTACTCTAATAATCAATTATTGACCTGTGATGGTTTTGTGATTTGAAGCAGAGGATCTCTCGACTCTGGTGATGTCATTGAAGGTGCGCTGAGCTTCCTGTATCTGACCTTTTCAAGCTCCGACACCACAGATCAGTTGCTCTGTGAAACGGATGTAGTGCATGAAGTGGATTCCAGAGAGCTCTGGAATATTGGTGTTTGGTAATAAATGTCTGTTGTATGGTTAACCTTGTGGTGGTCTGCGGGAGGAGACATGAAACGGATGAAAACAAGCGTCTTACCGGTCAGTTTGATGCTTGTTACGAGCTGTTGTTGAAGCTGAGGGATTTACTCTGATCCAAGGTTAAACTCATTTGTTCTGTTCACACGCTGATGACGCTGACCTCCGTGAATATGGCGCCCGCATTATTTCTCTCTCTCCCTGTTGGAGCAAACCCAGGCGTTAGCTCGATCAATTATGCTGTAAGGGGGTGAGTGTGTGATCGCGTGCTATGAGGCATTAACACGCTGTCTTGGTCCCCGAGGAGAAAAGCTTCCTGCAGATGGACGCCCCCCCCCCCCCGTTACAAGCACCCAACAGTTTTCCTTTGGAGATCCATCTTGGGCAGCGGTCCTGCTCGCCTGCAATCTACTAGTCTCTTGTGGGCTTGTTTGCTATAGTGAGTGAGCCGAGCTCCGTTGCTTGTACAGCGAGCAGTGAAACATCTCACTCCCTGCATGAGCTCACTCAAGAGTAGTTTGAGCCGATCCTGATCTCTGGCCTAGCCTCAACCCTCCCTCCTCCATAGCAGCGGAGCACGTCATACGAGGAACCATGCAAACGTTAGTCCAGTAAGTAATTCCTTGCTGGGAACAATTTTTTTCTCCCTCTCCGATTATTTTTTTTGCCCGTAAGCTAGAAGACTTTTTGAAGGTCTTTGGTGGAGATCTTGTGATGTTTCTGTACTCCGAGATAAAAGATAAGCCAGCGCTGCATAATTCTCCATAAATTAATCTGATCAATTTTAATGAGCAGGGAGTGTTTATGTAAGGTTTATTGCGTGGACACCCAGCTGTGGGCTTAATTTTGGAGTGAATCATAGTCTTCCATAGCACTTTGATGCAACAGTTTCATTTAGTTGGTGGTTTGATTTTTAGGAAAAATGTCTTGAATTGCAACGAAATCTTTTTTTAAGTTGATGTTTATAAACTGGCTTGCAATGCTTTGAAATATATATATATAATTACTTTTGCAGATGTGATATACCTTTAAATTCAAGCTCATTTTGAGTCGATGGTGTAAGTTTAATTTATTTTTATACTCTTCTATATAGAACATATAAAGACTGGCCCAGTTATCTATACACAGGCACATATTAACATGAATACATAAAATCTGGCAAAGTTTTGTCAGGATGTCAGGGACTGTTGTAATATGTATGACATGTTATAGACGTCTTATATTACAAGTAGTCTTAGCGTATGCTGCTGTCGTTACCTTAATGTAGAATCTGTGTAGTTGGTCCCCTGTGGAATTCCAATAAATACAGTAAATGTGTCTTTTATTATTGGTAGGGGAGCTTTAGCAGCATGAGGATGGCCGCCCCCACAAATAGGCCATTTCTTTATTTCTCCTTATCCAGAACATGGGAATGGATTCTGTCCGTGTGGTTTTTGTTGAGTCTGAAGACGAAAACAACCTGGGTTAAATATCAGCTGCAAATAGAGTTTGTTTTAACAAACTAAAGCAAAAGATTGATGCGATTCAGTTCAGTCAGTCAGCAACAAGGGAACTGAATCATGTTCTTCAAAAGCCCTGAATCATTTTTTTATTTCAACATTAACACAGTATTTAACATTTAAAATTATGTTAAAACAATTCATGTGTGTGTGTTAGTGGACCTCTTCAGGACCAAACCCTGCCAAATGTGTGTGTTCCAGGTATTACTCATGTTGTGGGAGCCTAAATCTCTTTACACAGTCACATTGTGGGGACATGTCTTAAGGGGGACGAAAAGCAAGTCCCCAATAGGTAAATCATTACATTTTCAGGTGAAGACATGGTTTAAGGTTCATTTAAGGTTAAGTTTAGGTTGAGGTAAGAGTAAAGGTTGGGGTAAGGCAGGTAAAAATTGGCTGGATGTCTTAATAGGCAACTCTTTGTTTGGGTTTCAAGTCCCAACAGATCAATATGTGTGCAGTGTTGTGCTCACGGTGTGTTTTCACTGCCCCCAAGTGGCTAGTTTTAATTATTCAAGTTTATAATAATACATTTTATTACTTAAATTAAATTATTACATTTTCAGAGGCTTAAACCACTTTTTTATATATTTTTTTTCCATCCAGTGATTTCTATCTCAAATTCCAAATTCTAGAGAAGCTGAAACAAAAGTGAAAGCTGAAAGTCATTTTGTAAGTGTGATTTTGACCCAGCTGTGATTGCCCTGTTCCATTTCAAGTTTTTTTTTTGGGCACCCTTTATTAAAATGGGACAGCGTGAGTGAATACTTCAAATCTATCAGGGAACTTTTTTCCATGTTGACTGAAGTTTCATTAACTAAGAGAAATCCAAACTTTTGCTTCTTTGGCTTCTTTCCTTTCCTCGAGTCGGTCCCTGCAGTGAGAGCGATGCGGGCCCTTTAGACTCTTCAGGTGTGTACAGATGAATAAAACATGGTTTGGTATTTGTCTGATTAAGGAAGAGAGAGATGGTGTTTATGCAATTTACTATTTTTAAGATCTAATACATGATTTATGTGTAGCAAGGAGGCTGAGTTGTGGTTGAGACGACGGGAGCCTACCTCCTGCTTTATAGACAGAGTCTGAGGATGTTCACATGCTACGTATTAGAAAAATATTTTTGATGTCTTTTTTTGAATGATGATTGTCTCTAAAAGAACTATTACATGACATTGCTGTATTACTCTTATTAAGACTCATTCCATTATATTTTGCTTGTGATCAGATAAAGGATTAAACCCAACACATGAAGGATATGTGCAGTAGTACTCTCTCGTACTATCCACTGTAAGCTGTACTTCTTTCTCTAAATTATACCTTAACATTTTTGTGTGGATATGCTGTGTGTATGTATCCATCCGCCTGTGTGACTGTGTGAATGCATAGGTTCATGTCCTTTAAAGATACAGTAATGTTCTCTTGGAGGTGCATGTTACCCAAACTGTGTGTCAGTGTATTTTCAGTGCTTCGCTTTTTGTGTATGAAGACATCCCAGCTTCTTTAGAAACGTCACCCAGGCTCTCCTGGTGATTTAGCACTGTGGTTTTACATCTGACTCGTTTATTTTCCTTGATCAGATTTGATTTATTCAGGACGGGGACGAGGCAGCGTTTGGCCGCTCTCCTCGCTCTTTTTGACGACTTGTAAAACATCTGAATGTTTTGCATTTTAAGTGCCCATTTTAAACTGACATTGTCAAATCATGATGTTTTGTGGTTTGATTTTTCTCGTCAGCGGTGTCGACATGTTGCTGTTGAAAATGGTTCACAAAGAGAAACAGATCCACTAAAAGTAAGATATAGAGAGACATTTATTAAACTATAAAGGGCTTCTTAATCTATCAGTCTTTATTGAATTGTGATGACCTTGTTGCATGTTTGTGTGTTTCTTGTGGAAAAATAAATGTGCCCTTCACAGGGGTAGTTTGTTTGACCTTTTGTCACTTTGGCTCTTTCTGTTTTTTTCCCCCCCTCCCACTCGGTGGCATGTCCTTGATTTACCCGCAGCACTTTCCTCCCTGTGCTCCGTACCTCAATCGGTGGAGTTGCAGCCGTGACCATTCTCACTAACACTAAATCTGCTTTATGCTCACTGGTGTCTGCATGTTGGTGCTGCGGTGAAGAGCTGTGGTTGGTGCATACTCAAACAGGCTGTTCGCCAAGATCTGTGGGAGATCATCCTGCCCTCTACACGCACCTCTCTTCCTCAAAGCACCGACACGTGGGGTCAGTCTCCTCCGAGTCTTCCCTCCTAACCATCCCCTCCCTCCTGCCCTGCCTCCTCTCAGCACTCACCTCTCATGCCTAATGAGGGGGGGGGGGGGGGGTCACAGTTTCCCTGTCCCCCCCCCATCACTCTCATTATCATTTAAATAAGGCCGGGAGGAGGAACAGCTGCGAACACTGTTTGTGAGGCATAATTTAACATTAGCTTCTGAGTCCTGTTGGATTGTAACGTCCGTGGTCAGGGGGGTTAGATTAAATTATTCAGTTGAATAATGGTGTGGTAACCATGACACTGTGAGACATGTAATGTCATTTCCTGTAAGATCATGAATGAATGAATGTCACCGCCTGCACTCACTCAGGCCTTTCACATTGAAACCAACCATGAGAAGAAAACATAAAAGACAGATAGATGCTAAGTATTCACTAGAAGATCTCTCAGAAGAGCATATGCCTCCACTTAGCCAACAGTTCCCTCTAATTCAGTCAAGCTGCAACAAATTTTACACTCTTATATATCAGTTCCTTAAATATGACAGATTTTTTTCATCAGGAGCAATGGCTTATTCCCTGTGAAGATAGTGAAAACGTTATCGCGAATCGCAATGTTGAAGAAAAGTTCCTGGATCCACACCAACATGTAATGGTTTCTTCTCTGACCCACCCCACATTCTTCCACCACCATCGTGGTAATCAGTCCAGTACTTTTTGTGTAATCTTGCTAACTGACTGACAAACAAACAATCAGACGGGTGAGAACATAATCTCCTTGGTGAAGGTAATGATTTCTCCACTTTATTCTTCAAAGTTTAACTAGAATGGGGGGAAAAGGACTTAGTTCATTTACTGTGAATGGGGCATTTTTGGTTTTCAGGGCACAAATTTGACAATAGACTTGTTAGCTGAAATAAGATTTTACTGAATAATACAATTGTTTTTAGTTCACAGTAACAATTCACTTGGAACAAACCATTATGGTGAATTTGCAAAATAAAGTACAGGCAGTGTGTTTTTCTTTTCAAAATAAAAGCCCTTATTCAGGGAATATAAAGTTCACAAACCACAGTTTAGTTTTGAAAAGATTGAAGTCGCAAATCAATAAAACAACATTTTGGAGCAAGGCAGCATAAACCAAAACCTTTAGGAAATATAAAAAATATCATTGGAACCTATGGCTGTGTCTGGCATGTGTGTTTTAGGTTTACATCTAACAGAAATGATGTTTACCACAATAAAATTCATACTGAGACTCAATGAGAGATCACTGGACTGATCTCTCCGACATTCAGTGACATCCATTTCAAGGAAAGACACTGAACGCTACTCTCTGTGCAGGAAATGGCTTTTACGATACGCTTGTGTTTTGTGCGTCTCACATACTGTATATAGAAAATTGATTGTGATTTTTTTTTCATTTCATTGTCTATAAAGAAATTTGGCATATAAGACACATCCAAGCCAAATATGGTGGCACCTAAATCTCAAGGAAATGTAAATGTATATCAAATGGGAGAATCTCAGGTAACTGGATGTGGATGGACATTATATTGATTGAATATATTATATTGAAAGGTAAATGTTACCCATATGACTTTAGGGAACGGCTACATCAAGTGTTTCTTAAATATGCAAATAATATGAGAACCAAACATGTAGGTGGACTGGCCATAGCACCAAACAAAAGCACATTGTTTTGTCTAAAGGGACCAAAGCAACAATTAAAATGATCATGTTTCTTATCAAACAGGCAGCGTCTTACTGTGGCATGAGCACAAGCATTTCATAATCTCATGGTGGTATGACCTATAATGTTAATGTGGCCGCAATGTGCCAAAAAATTGCCTCAATAAGATATGAAACGTTGATAAAAGCAATGTGAAAACAACTTACATTCAGTTAATGTAGATTACACTACAACAAGCCATTTGCATAAAAACGTGCAACTGAGGTCCTGTACAGTTTCTCAAAAATATAAAAGCTCCTCGTCACATTTCAACAACAAGAGGATGCAGGCCATGCGACAGATTGCTTGTTATCAACATTAGAAAATATCAGCGTCAAAGTCCCTCGGCCCCCCCCTCTATCGTCAAGTATTATAATCTCTCTCTGTGGCGCTGTTGAAGCCAGTGGCACTCAGAGAATACAAAAAGATTCAAAGTGGGAGAGTTTCTTGTGCTCTTCACAGTGAGGCGTGAACTGAAAGGATGAAGGAGGGCACATCCTGTGGCCACTCTCTCTCCCTGACAATCAAGAGGGAGATGCTTAAATGTGTTGGTTCAGGATGCAGCCCCGCCCCCTGCCTCTCTCCATCAGTGGATCCTGATGTGATGATGGAGTCTAGGGATTCAGAATGACACTGGTGGCGTCCTGCTTCTCTCTGTGCTGGAAGGTGGCGTGAGCCTGCTCCAGATCCTCTAGAACCGCCAGCAGCCGGGCGACCATGCTCTGACCTGGCTTCAGGAGCTGAACGTTGCATTCTGCACCATCTATGAGAAAGAGAGAACTGAGCAGTTAAAAACTAAAATATGTAATCATGCAGATAACACAAACAGCATCCTTGTAGTTTAGATATAGCAGCTGCAGCCTCACCTGGGACAACGTCAGGGCTGATCTTTTCTTTATTGCTCAACGCCTGATCAGCATCCGGCATCTCCACATATTTTTTCCTGCAGTGTCAGTCACAGAAATTAATCACATGATCACGAACCATTCCTTCTCTCAAACCTTTAGACACTCGCAGCTCAATGTTTGATTACAAAGTCAATAAGCACCAGCTGAAACAGAAGAGCAGCGTATTCCTATGTTGCAACATTGACCTCTAGTGTCCAGTAAATACACTGCACCCAGACAGGGGCTGTTCCCTCTGCTGACCTCAGTTTCTCTCTGCCCAGGAGAAGCTGCTTGTATATGGTCTGAGTCTCAACGTCGGGATCCAGCGGGTCGCTCCAGTCCCCCAGAGTGACAGCCGAGTGGGTTCTACTGCAGCCTGTGACTGAACATATGAGGGTCACACAAATATCACTGATGGAAGTCTCACAGTTTGAACACTTTGAGTGTGAATAGCCCGAGTGGCAATTCAACCACAAATTAAACACCATTTTTAAAATTCTGAAAATGTGAAGATTAGACTTTAAAAAAAGACATTTAGATTATTTGCATCGCTCCAAATCATTTTATAGAATAAGAGAATAGAATCATAATACAATAGTAAGGTCAAAAATTTAAAAATTACAGATAAACCCAACAGTTCCAACAACAATCAACTGTATAATTTTAAGTAGTTAATCAGATGCAGCTTTCAAACAGTAACTGAATGTAATTTGTCAGAGAAAATCACATTATGATTCTCAGAGCTCCTTCTCCACCAAAGCAACAAAGACAGCAACAACCTGAATGTTTAGTCACTAAATATGAATCACCAGGAACTTGTGCTTTATTTGACGACAGCTACAAGTTTGACCAGGACTAAAGTAAGAGCACATGCTGATGCACAATACAGTTTAGACTCTGGGATAATCTTTCTGGAGGCATCTTTGGTGTAATTCAGCATATTTGTGATTGTAATCTGAGCTATTTTAACAAATACTCTTAAAGAGTTGATATATTTACATAGCACATTGACTCGTTACAGTAGGATAGTGCATCATCAGGAGTGATAAGAACTGGATTACCTGCACGTTCTGCCTGCAGACAGCACGTCCACTTGCCACCGCGATGAGCCCCTGGGTGGAAAGAGGGCAGCATGCGCTCATTGTAGATGCTGACTTTCCTGATCGCTGACAGCCACTGGTTCAGCTCATTCACGTTCTATTCAGGTAAAACAAAACAGTATTACCAAGGAGTTTATAACTGCCTTAAACTCAGTACACTGCATTTCTCTGCCAAGACCAAACAGTCCCCTTGGAGCTGCCACACACTGCAAAGAGTCGTAAATATCTGCCTGCTTTTTTTCATCAAGATCAATGAATTACTCTCTGAGCAATCAAGAAAAATCTCACAATGCTAAGTGAAAAGAAATTCCTGGATCTGCCCCTTGATCCGGATCCGCACCAAAATTATATGCGTTCTTACTTGGCTCCTCCACAAGATTTTATGTAAATCATTCATGTAGTTTTTGTGTAATCCTGCTGACAATCTAACAAACAAAGATATTTAAAAAATAACACACAGACTAAAATCTCCTTGGTTAAGGAGGTGAAGCAGGAGGAAATATCTCAATTAATTATTTAGCTTTTTCATTTAATCATATATATGATCGGAGATCACGAATTGTCAGCAAAATAATGGGTGAAGCAATAAATGCTTTTTCTGTGCTTAAATACAAAATTTTTGTGGCAATCAGAAAAATGTCAGGGGCTTGTTTGGTGACTGGCTGTTGTCAGTACCAATGCACCTTGCACTGGATATACATGGTGTGCATCTGTCCGTCGTTGTCCTGGGTGATGACCTGCATTACATTCTGCTGCTGAAAGGCATTTTCATCCACCCTCTCCACGGCACACACGCACTGCACGGGGATGGAGGAGCGCACCTGCAACGATTGAGCCACAGACCACAGCACCAATTAAACTCAAGGATGAACAGACTGGTAATGACGGATTGTGCCTCGAGCAGTTTAGCCGGAGGACTGAGTGAAAAAAAAGTGGTGTATGGTTTGATCACAGAGCAAATTAGTGTCTGATGCTGAAATAGTTTGCACACATTAGGGCCGGAGGCTCAGTGTGAGGCCAGGAGGAAGTGAAGATGAGACCGGCACGGCAGCAGAGGCCGCTTTAAAGTGTAAATCAGCCACTTCCAATGGGAGCTCGTATCGTCAACATGGAGGAAAAGGGTCAGGACATTGTCTGCAATCTGATTTGCAATGTTAGCATGAATATCCACAGCCTTCAATTAACGCTCGCTTTCATTCCAGTCGCTCAAAGAGAGAGCTTTTTACCGAGGTATAGAGAGAGCCTGCTCCCCTCTACGTCTCCCTCTCTCTCTCTGGATGGTGAATAAGAGGAGATCATTATCACAAGGCTCAGCACCACATGGTAATAACACTAATGATGTTCTCACAAGGAGATCAACACAAATACATTAAAGCGAGCTGGGGATGACTAAAATGTTTCCTCTTTTTTATGAGCCAAGTTGATGAACGTCCTTCAAAGGCCAGTGACTGATTCATCGTCACAAGGCCGATCAGCTTCTAATAATGGATGAGTCACTTTCACGCGACCTTGATTAAAGATTACTTCTCTATTTTTGGCCTGTATATGGGACAAAGACAAATAAATAAACATGTATCTGCCATATAATTAAAAAATAAATACTGTTGCTGGCTGTTAAAATGGCTAATTAAGTAGACGAAACAACACATTATCATATATTCACAAGATATACACACAAAACAATTTTTAACACTCAAATAAATTAAGTTTATTCAAGTTAAATGTATCATTTGTGCTAATATAACTAGTTTAATTTGGACAAATCAATAAAATGTTGTTTTGGTAATCCTGGAAAAAAACGGGTGGGCTGCACTTGAAAAAATCCAACCGACGCACCCCACCCCCTCCCATTAGCCCTCTTGCCAAAGCTACGCCCCCAAAACACGTGAAGGTGAACTGAGGGACAACAGCTAGAAACCTTTTTTCTGTGGCTCACACATTAACTTCTTGCTGTCATCTGCTTCGGATTCAATTCATGTCCAATAATCCTCTGCCTATTTGCCTCTTGTTTATTTACCTCTGAAAAATGTGCAATAACCTATAAATACATATATATACTATACACTTAACGTAATGTATTCTTGTATTGAGCTCTTTTACTTTATTTAAATCAACTTTTTCTCCCTTATATTCTCTATAACATTGCTCTTATTGCATTGCTGAGCTCACTTTTGATTGTACTGTTGACCCCGTGGTAACTTATTTATGACAAATAAACCTGAAACTTGAACTTGATCTTCAGTGTTTGTCTCTCCGGCTGAAGACTCCAGCCCTTTACAGTGAGAGCAGGGGCAGGGTTCAGGCAGGTGGTCGGGTCGGTCAATCATTTGGTCTGAATGAAATGATTGGTTGTGTTTAATACAATCCTGCGAGGGCCACAGACACTGGCTTTTTATCTCCTCTATTTGTCATTTTATGGATGGCTATTGGGGCGTGAAGAGGATTTCAACAAATACGATTAAAGACGTGTTTCAGAAACAAATGACCAACCCTACCTTTAATTCATTTTGTTTTCATTCATTGAAATCATTTTCTAAAGGCGGTAAACATTTTGTGTCGGTTCTGGCTTATTATACTAGTACCAACCTGCCACTCAGGGGTCTTGGCATAGGACAGCGTCTCACTGGTCAACCAGAAGTAGCGTTTCTTGAAGGCAAAGCGGGACAACAGCTGGGGCCCCTCTGTCTTGTGTTTGTGGAGGAATCCCTCTTTGACTGTGACAGAAGGCATGAACACGGCCCTCTGAGGCACCTCCGACACTACAGGTAGAAGGAGAGAGTTTGTGATGCATATATAATGGAATGTTCATCCACACAGACACAAGGTGGTGCTGTGACAATAAACATACAGGCTACATTCAATTGTTAAACTTCAGTACACTCGTAATTAACAGCGCTTTGTGATTGACGACACCTCTGTCCATCAGCACATGAAGGATTGAAAGAACAAGCATCCACTCCTGTCCTCCAAATCCTCCAGAAGAGCAGTAAATGTCAAACTGGCCTTTAAGAGAAAAGAGTGGGTGTGATGTGCAGAAGGAGGCGAAACACGATATGTCAGAGGGGGAAGATGTTTCACAACAAGAGCCTCACTGACACATGACGGTGAGAAAGCAGCCCAGACATGTTGGGTAACCAGTGTGGCGTGTAAAGGCGCCTGAGGCCTCTCGCTCCAGCTCCCCACCAACTCATTAACCATCACATCTCTTTTCTACACTTCCAACAACTTATGAATATTTCACCAAGGGGCCACGGTATTGTTTCACTGAATCCTTATATTACGGCTCGGGGTTGCTGGCAGCCGGCCCGTGGCTGATTAACAACATTTAATTAATTGACAGCGTGACTTCTGAACTTTCCCTTCCAGCTCACAGCTCACAGTCTTACCAATGTCATGGTCTATGTCGATTAACTTGTCGAGGAAGTCTTTCACAGACGCCACGCTGCGAAGGATGATGGGATGAAGAGGAGCCATCCACTGCTCCTTTCCATGACCCAGCTGAAGGCCCAGGTTCCCGACACTTTGCAATGCCTGGTGAGCACAGACACACAACAACATCCACTCAATGCCCACATCTTCAGCACATGAACTGACAGTGCTCGCTGTGAGTGACTGCACATCTCAAAGTCAGAGATCAAAAGGGTTCCTGTGGCCAAGCATGCTGTGAGGCCCTTTGTCCGGCCCACACCTGGCCTAGGGTGAGGAGGAAGTCCCACTCTGCAGCCCCTCTCTGATGCTCGGGCTTTGAACCGCAGTCTGGTCGCAGCGTGCACAAAGGTAAAAATAGCTTGTTCCCTTTCTCCGTGGAGGACCCATGGCAACAGCACTTCAGCACCACGGACAGCAGCAAGCGACGTTTCACTTTTAATACGTGACCTCTCTGTTTCTAATGCTATTGAGGGTGTTTATGTTGTTTATGTATGAGTGTTGGTGATCACGACCATTCAACAGTATAGTGAGCTTAGTTAGAAACGAGGCTTTTATTACCAGTGCGACAATTATTTTTTCTGTGCCTGCCTGTTTGATCTATTTCCAGTTGAGACAGGATGTTGGAGCGAATTACATGTGAAGGTATCGTTCAAAGGTTAAAGTTATCCACTGTAAAGTGTGCTGCATGTGATATTCAATAGTTATAATTTGCTTTTGTCTTTACGCATTGTTTAAATGCTTGTTTTGTCTTTCTGCTTCCTGTTGTTAGAAATTACTCGCCTCGCCTCCTGCGCATCCACCTCTTTCGCTGTTTGTTTCTTCTGCACTTAAGTGTGATGTCTGGACATGAATTAATTATTCAAAGCGGCGTCTGTGCGCACGTCTGTGTTGTGCATCGTACCTTGGCGAGTAGTAACAGGGTTCTGCTCGTGCGCGTGTCCGCGTGCTGGTCTCTCAGCTGGAACAGTTTAGGCGTGAGGATGGCAGGAGCAAAAAAACGCAGGAAGAAGAATCCACTGATGGCCAGATACTTCACGTCCTGTAAAAGTCAAGTGAATTTGATGGGAGAAGTTTAAAAACCTGAGCACTGTCACTCAGTATAGGAGTGTAGAGTATAGAGTGGTAGCTGAATATGAAACATGTGAAGGGAGTGTAAAATATATCAAAAATACAATGACAGGCTTTAAAGGTGTTTCCAGCTTTTATTCTCAAAGTGTTTTGCTCCAGACTGACCTCGTTCTCAGGTTCAGCAAATTGCTCCTCTACTCTCTTGTGCAGTTGTTTGAAGGCCACTCTCATGACCGGAGGACACTGATCGACTGAGCCCACAATAGATTCAATGATGCTGGTTAAGTAACTCTGCAGCATCTCCACACTGCTGTCCCGCACCTCTGCCTCCGACACTGCCCCCTTAAATGAAATCCGTCTTTGGAGACACAGAAAGATGAGAGGATTTATTGTCCCTATGTCAGAAGTAGACAAAGTACCATTTGTATAGAGATTTTGTTGAATCGTAAAAAGGACCATACTCAATTAAGCATACTGATGAAATATACGGACATTTACATATAACAATACAACTGACGATGTAATTGCATGTAAGAGCCTTTTTATATACAGTCTATGGTCAGAGTAATTTCATAGATTGGACAGCTGAATACAGATTTTGAGTGTTGAACTGACGATGTCCTGAGAGCTATGAAGACACGGGACAGCTGATACATTGAAGACAGACTGATCTACCGCAGATGTAGAGGACGTTCGCTCCTGGATCTCCCTCCATGTCAGAGATAGACATCTCAGGGGGCTCATGGCAGTTGCCAAGCAACAGCCTCCCCCCCTTTTTCGCATTCCTTTTTTTTTCATTTTCTCACAGTCTTCCTCTCAGGGGCGAGGTGTAAATGAAGTGGGCGGCCACCTGTGACCGTGTATCCATTTGACCATTTCAACGCAGAGATTGTGAACTACACAGATGAGCCTACGACCCACAATCCCAGTTTGTGTCTTAAGACAAGCGGGTGTGAAGCAAAGAGGGACTATTTTAGTTCAGGATATGACTGATCAGGGTGTTGTGAGCGGCAGGAAGATGTGTTTTAGGTTTTTACCTCGTGCGGTTCAGGTCGATCTTACACGGGTCCAGCTCGATGTATTTCTTCTCATCAAAGATGCGATTAATGATGGGCTTCAGCACCTCGTGCAGATACAGCATGCCAACAGCCTGACAGCAAAACAATACCATACGCTGAGAACATCACATTTGCATACATTTTCTAAATGTGTGAACCTGCGTAAGAATAAACAAGGTACAGTGTGAAGCAGCAAGGGTGCATGAGACAGTGTACATTTAACAACAATAGAGAATGTACAGGAAGATAAATACAAAGTAATACAACAGCAACAATGAAAATGTCACGTTTCACTTGTGCACAACTTTTTTTAAATTGCAGCTGCTAACTCATGTCTCATGACTCTGTCTCATTGTCCATGGAGACAATTAGAAATGCTTTGCTGTTTAAACATTTGATTTGCAAAAAAAGAGCTCTTTTAGATAATTTTATTGATCTGTATTTATGGAAAATAAATAATCTGTTATATCATATATTACCAGATATATATCTTACTAGTGATGTGTCCAATTTTCCCTTTTATACTAATATATAACCTGTACTTTGTATATTTTGTATTCATTTTTTTGTTATATTTAGGTTTTGTACCACACATAATTGTAACCCTTCATGTATGTATTTTGCATTTATGTTATGTGAAAAAAGTTCTAAAAAAATCTAATTCTTATAGTTCCTCACAACATAAAGCAACAGTTACATCATCGCACCTTCATGAACTGCTCCATAGCCTTGGAGGAGAGTGAGTTGGAGCGAAACAAAGTGTTTGGATCAGCTGTAAGAGCAAAAGAGAAAAGAGACTGATTCATTTTATAGTAAATAACAACACAATTTAACCTGAAATACATTTATTTACATTAAATTATGACAGAGAGGCAGCAGCTAAGCTTTTAGAGAAGCATGGATCTGATCATTTCCTCCCTCATTAATATCCTCCAGCGAATGTAATGAAGCCACTTTCACAGACGCTCTCAACAGAAATATAATCAAGCTCGATGAAAATCTCTGAGATAGATGCATTCATTAAATTCATTGGCAGCTATTAATAAGAAGTGTGGATCCTTTGTGTGTTTCTGATGTCACTTCAGGCTTCTGGCATGTGTGACATGTTTATCAACTGAGAGCAGATCTGCTTTAGAAGCGCAGAACTCTCAGTGTGACAAATGAGGACAGAGTGACCTTGCTGACACAACATTTAAATCCTTCAAGGTGGCCACACTGAAATATTCATAATGACAGGGACTGAGGTTATTGGGTGAAATATTTTCGGTGACATACATGAGAACCTGCGAGAGCAGTTTCCTTTCCTTTACCCCTGTGCCCAACTTTAATGTCTGGCTGCCAACGGCATCTATTCTTGATCAAGCACTTACTCTCAGGATCATGTGGAGTTGCTATGGAAACTTAGGCACTATGCTTATTATCTCAAACTACACCAACACAACCCAAAGACCAGAGCACAACTCTGTGTGAATTATCGTTGGAATGTGGTGCGGAGGCAATAACATGACTAATCCAGACCACAGAGGAGCCATGAAAAAAGGCTGTGGGCTGAGTAAGTAATTGGCATTGTTGAGGCAAATATGGTGCGGGTAGGTTTTAAACGCCCACGTACACACACCATGACTGTAGTGCTCAGAGAACTCAATGTCAGTTCAGAGATAAATAGCAGCAGCTCTCAGAGGGTCTCTGGAGTGAGAAGCAATTGCAGGAAAATGGCAGGTCCCAAAATCTGACTTCAGTCAGACAACTCACCTTCAACCATTTATTGCGGTAGTAGAACATAGTTTGTGTTTGGCGTCTAGGCTCCGACTCAATCACTCCCCAGATATGATTACATAGATATGATGGGAGTGACGAGCAAATACTTGTAACCCCCCCCCGGAGCTTACAGGTGGATGTTGGGGTGGTGGAGGGGCTGAAGCAACTGGTAGCAATACTGCAGCAGCAGTGCGAGCAGAGGGGTTTAAGGGAAATTTCTCTCTGCTTAAATAGGCTGCCTAATAAGGTGGGTGCATACAATAGATGATTGTGGAGAATGAGGTATGTCACATGATGTGTGTCACATGATGGGAGCAGCACAGCTCGAGTTGGCTGCCTGAACTAGCTCGCAGGGTTCGCTCCATTAATGCAAATAGTGATAAATGTAGAGCTGATGCACACTGTGTATTGTGTGATCACAATGGTCCAAAAATTAAACAAAAATTCTTCTGAGAGACAAACTGGAGTTTGCTGGAGTGGACCTTCCCCTCACATTCTGGATATTGGACTACCTGACCCACCGACCCCAGTATGTGAGGACCTGGGATTGTGTGTTGGACACAACTGTCTGTAGTACGGGGACCCTGCAGGGAACAGGTCTGAGTCTGTTTCTTCTCACCCTCTACACTGCAGACCTCCTCTACAACTGACTTCTTATAAGTACCTATGTGTTCACCTGAACAACAAACTGGACTGGACTGATCATGCCAGTGCACTCTATGAGAAGGGCCAGAGCAGACACTATCTGTTCAGGAGATTTAGGTCTTTTGGAGTGCAGGGGGCGCTACTTGGTAGTTTTCTTTGGAATAGTATGCTGGGGCAGCAGATTGCAACTGCTGACAGGAAGAGAGTGGATAGACTGATTAGAAGGGGCTAGCTCGGTCCTGTGATACCCACTTGACCCAGTGGAGGTGGTGGGACAGAGGAGGATGCTGGCGAAGCTGTCTTCTCTGATGGACAAACAGTCCAACCCCCTGGACATATGTCCACATGGTACATATATTTAATTTACAATTTAATATATTTGTTTTTATTCCACTTTGATTTTGATTGTCCTCTTGCTGCTGTAAAAATGTCCCCACTGTGGGACAAATAAAGGATTATCTTATATCTCTATCTGAACAGTGCACTTAATAAACACAATACAATGTATCAATCTGTTATTGACGACATGCCGTCTCTAATCTTACTGGTGTGGTTGACCTCCCGAGTGTTCAGGTAATCCAGGAAAGGCACCACAAGGCCCTGGCCCAGGTAGATCTTCACCAGGGTCATTGCCACATCTTGACGGCTCTCAACCGTGGTTACATCCTCCAGCATGGTCAGAGCGCTGCTATCCTCCACCTGGTGAGAGGACGACTCAGGTTATGGGCAGAGAATGTGAACGGCATTGGAAGGACACGAGAGGATAAATGAGGCAGATGGATTGAAATGAAAACTGGGCTCAGACTACAGGAATTTGGGCCAATTTAATTCTGATTCTGCCCCCACGAGAATTGGATGAGAAATCTGATCTGGAACCTTGGTCTGTAGCTATGTTCAGCCCAGAATGTCTGATGAAGATTTTACTGCGACCATTTTCTCATCCAGACTAATTTAACCTTTTGCTTTTGTTTATTGACATAAGAGCAAGTTGTCGCTCCACACCACCCTCCATTTTGTTTATCTGCTTCACCATGAGGTCACACGAGAGATGTGAGGTGGTGCGTCGCTGTCCCTGGAGCAATAATATCAACAACATCCCACAGTGTTTGATATGCCATTATTTTCTAATCTTGTAGTGTGAGCAGCTGAGCACATGAGTATCGGTGCTGAGGAGGAGTCGTGATGCTCACCTCTGTGGGCGAGATGACTGACTCAACCAGGAGGTCAATGAGAGGCTGGTAGTACACAGATGGCAGAATCCGATCCTCCACCAGACGCACCTTCAGACGCAGTGCTCCCAGCTTACCACTGTGACAAAGGAAAAGAAAAGGAAAAAGAATCTCAGAGAGAACAGAGGGAGACATGATCATGATGAACCTCCATTAAAGGAATCCTGGGAACGATGTGAAAAGCTTTAGGGACTTTTTGAAAAAACACAAACTACTGGCTTTGTCGTACATGGTTTTGTGTAAAATTAGTTATTTGCGGAAATCTGTAAATAAAAAAGCAAGGTGCTGATATGATACATTTAAAAGCCTTTTTCTAACATCTCTAAACACAGTGATAGTGTCTCCTGATGGTGCATCAAATGTTCACACTGCTTCCCCAAACCAATGAGTTGTAACATATAGTTCCAGAGCAAATAGGTTTTGTAATTACTTGGGTAGTTACCAATTTCTACTCAGCGGTGTGCAACCCCTTTAACTGTGAGTCTCCGAGATTCACTTTACTTTTATGTCATCCGTTTCGCAGTTCACTCAGCTTTGTTTGGTCTAAAATTATCTCAAGGAACAGACGCTGTCAGAGACCTGGCTATGCACCTGCAAACACATGCAGGGGGAACAAATACTTTCCTTGGCTGCATTTAAAAAGACCCAGTGATTGCTGCTCACTTTGAGTCTTGAGAGGTTTCCAACAGCAAAATGCCTCTCTCAGTTATAACATACAAGCATACAAACTACTACTCACTACATTATCCAAATAGACACACCCATAATCCTCACCCTGCATCAACCTCATTGTTTCCCAAGGGTAGTAAACGGAACCAGCCATCTAACAGAGGTGCCTTGTGCAAACAAGGAAAAGGAATTTCCACCTGCGGACACAAAGAGCAAACAAGGATATGATATCAGGCAGTAACAATCACTTATTAAGGAATGTAGTGTTGAAAAATTCTCTACACATAGACAAAACATTTTTAACCAACCATGTATTTAAATCAATAGAAAAACAGCATTATTATTTTAACTACAGCATCCTCACCTTTCCAAGAAAGTCATTCTTGCCCACCATGTCCCAGTCCCAGACCTCCACAGTGACGTTTCCTTCCACACTCAGCTCCTCGGGATCCACCTGCAGCTCCAGTGTCTCTCCCCAGTGAGGGAAACGAGTTTTCTTGATAATCTAAAAAACAAACCTTTGTCACCCCACTATTGTCCAAGGTTAAAGGCACCATAGAAGATGTTGCACCTTGTTAAGTGTTATTGTTAATTGTGCATATGGGCCATAGAAATTCAATTTGATTGATTACCAATTGAGCTCAGCTCACTTATGCATATGGCAATATGATAACATGGTGCTCACCGAGGTCTCTGCGCTGTGGTTGTTGAAAATAACTCTTGCGAATGGATCAGAGGTCCCGGTGATGTCTCTTGGAGCCAAGTCTCTATGGTTATCACGACACAGAATGAAAACAGAACCGATCTACTCACTGAAAACACTCAACAAACTCTTCAAACTGTCAGCGAGGACAAACTCAACCTTATTCTTTCAAACTCAATCCACATTTGTCAGGTCATGTTTGAATAACTCAGTGTCAAGTTCTGAGTGACATGCTCATTAGTGCCCTGCCTGGGAGCGAGAGATTGTAGCCTGGGACGCACAGATGGGACAGTGAGTGGTGTGATATGGCGACGTGACTCAGGGGCAGAGTGTGGAGGCCTGCAGGGTGATGGTGTAAAGATTTCAGCTCAGAAATAGTGACAGCCCAGGAAGAACTAAGCTACAGAAACTTAACTTATGTCCGCTTTCATCATATTCAATCTACATATAAAGAGGATAATAAGATCATGATAATAAGATGGTCACATGCTGGCTGCTCACTGTGCTCTTATTTTCTCAGCTGTCAGGATTTGAAACAGTTATTTTACCTGGCTTCAATGATTTGACACCGCAGGCTGATCTTCTCTGTATCTTTCAGCAGCTCCACACTCAGATGGATCTCTCCCTGGACTTCTTCATCAGGGTCGACCCTCGTCAGGTTCAGCCAGTTATCCAGCCCTGACCAGACCACACGGAAAGATACCAGTCGTTTAAACAGCAATGCTCAATGAATACTAAAAGCAGATGTTTTGAGTCAATAGAGAAACTGATGAATTGACCTTCTCATTAATAATGTCAAAGTATTTAGTTAATCTCCTGGTAAATTAAGAATAATCTGCATCCATTCAGATTCACTGTTTTATATTAAATTAAAAACTCCCTAGTCCCATCTTCTCAGTTGTGAGGATTTGCATGCCTTTGTTTTATTCAATATTAAACTTAACATTTTTAGGATTTGTGCTGATAAAAGGTAAATGCTTTTTTTTTACTATTGGGTGGCTAGGGAGTAGAGCGAGTTGTCCTCTAACAAGAAGGTCGGTGGACCGATCCTTGGGCAAGATACTGAACCCCTGACGGCTGCGTGGGCAGTGAGTGAGTGATGTGTGATAGAGGAAGAGTTGCACATAGATGCACTGTACGAATGTGTGTGTGAATGGCTGAAAGGCACTGTAAAGTACTTTGAGTGGTCATCGAGACTAGAAAAGCTGCTTTCTAACTTGTTATGGTCAAATCAAATCAGTAAACATTTTCTAAATGGCAAATTTTGTGCATAAAGGTATAAAATGCTTTAAAATCTATAAAGTACAAGACAAGATGAAACATGCTCAGTCCCAATCTGATAATGTTTATATTTCAGTCATGTCACATCCACATTCTCTGTTGCGCTCTGTGCAAGGGTACATCAAGGCCAGACTGCGAGAAGATTGGTGCGAGGGAGTAACTGACTCAGTTCCACCCTGTGGCCATTAATCACACGAGGCCATGCCAGGTGGCTTTCTACAGAGGCATCAGTATGCAGCAAACACACCCTGATGAACACATTGAGCAATTTAATAAAACTACACAACAGCATTAGACCACACCATATTTTAAATGTTCTGTCTAAGCGAGACAATGCAGGAAGTGCTGGAGATCGTGCTGACATGAACACTGAGTTTCTAAAATGTGAAAGGTCCTGTAAAAGATTAAAAAGGCTCCAGGTCATTTAAAATGATTTGGTTGTTATAATCATTTTACAGCACAGTGATGTTCCACACAAACAAATGGTTTATGATGCGCAATGAAAAATACCAGCGTCTATACAGACGAGTACCAGGAGAGCCATTCTAATAACAAACGTATCAGTGGGAACGCTGACTTCACCGCCTCCGAGTTAGAGTCTGCACGACCGAAACAAACTCTTAAGTGCCTGATAAATGTGCGCTAATCAAATTAAATGTGTGAGACTACATCAGGGGACATTCCCAGAGTCCCCATCTAAAAACAAGAGGGCATGTCTCCTCAATCACTTGGAACTATGACTCAGCCGTGGAAATCCATGTGAGTTTAACCTCTGAGCTGCGGTCGTGCACCCAGATTTGTTTAGTTATACCTTTAGCTTGAGACCTGATGGCGTCTTTATTCAGTGTAATCTTTCCAATAACATCATCGTGCCTGTAGAGAGAGATAAAAGAGGAGATTATCAGAGAGGAGCTATTGATGCTGCAGTTGCTGCAACACTTAAATGAGGTGAATTTGAGGACGGACTGATTAGAGAACCGGTGGTCACCAGACAACAAGAGAAAAAAAAAGAACCTTTAATCACTCAATGGAGGCGACCATCTGTCTGATGATGTTTGTTTATTCAAAGTTTGCAGTTACGTTCTCAGAACATTTAAACTGTTTGTGAGGTCATATTAGTTCCTGGGGCGAGTTAAGAAAACAGTGGTTTAGAGGACTATAAATCCACTGAGAGGCTCCGTCAGTAAAGAGGCTGAATATGGAATAGCTTTAAATGACAGTTACCCAATGGTGTCCTCATCCATGACATGGAAGGAAAGTGAATGGAAACCCATCGGGAGGTGCAGTGTATACTCTTCACCCCAGAAAGGATTAAGGTTCTTCCACACTGTGGCCGTCCTGAAAGAGGGGGGGGGGGTTATACGTGCTTAACAGACCTTATACCGGAAGACATTACATGAATGTATGCACCCACAGAAACCAGAACAGGCAGGAGTCACTGTAAAAGTGGCAGCGGTACAAGCTCACATACCCGAGGGTGGACAGATTACATGCTTTTAAAACAACTAGGATCCAGGGTCCCTCCAAGGCATCATAAGATGTTTAATGGAATAGAAAAGAAGGAGAAAACATAGATCTGCTACATATGATAATACTATTTTTTATAAAAACTTTTCTCTAAGCTCTTTTAAAATTGAACAAATCCTCATGTATGGATCAGCTCACATCATAGTGACATACTGCTGTACACAATGATATAATGAATAATCAAGCATGACAACATGTTACTAACATGTTCCACTGAGAAGTTCAGAGCATCTTTTGTACCTGAAGCAGTCAGACTTTTTAATGAACAATGTTGATTTAGTGTCTTTTTAGAATTATTATTCCTTCACGATATGAGGTAATGGTAAATTTCCTACATTTTTCAGTTTATACAAATTCTTAAAGGTTCTGTTAAAGCCAGGAAGAATTATATGAAGACAGTGTTGAACCTCAATACCTTTTTAATTGTAACAAATATTAAAAAAGGTACTTATTCATTAGTTCCGGATTTAACTCTTACTAGTTTTGTGGCTAAAAGAAAACATCTACGCATTATATACAGGAACAAGTATGTTTTTCCTTTAAGGCATTGCTACAGTTATGTTTTAGTTGCTTATTAATAGCACTCATGTATTGTAATGTCCAAGGACACTACAGCACTGTAGAGCCCTATGATTGTGTCCGTTATCTCCCTCCACAATCAGCCAGATCATCCGTGAACATCACACTCGAAGAGTCAGATGTCCAGTGACACCACAAGTACAAGATAATAGTGTGACTCTCTGTGGTAAATCATTGTGTGGTTTTCCCTCAGCGTAGATGGAACAATGGCCACTGAGTTTTCTCTGTTTGTGTTAAAAACAACTACACATTTCCTCCATAGTTAAATCTGGAATGCTGTGATGCCCCTGAAAATATGTGTTATTTGGAGAGTGAATGGAGAGGAGGAGAATGACATCATCTGAACTTTTGCTCTCATATGGAGAACTCATCTGAACTGGTGTATTCTGCAGCATTCTCTTTGCCTATACACAGGGAGCACCCTGCAATAATAGATGCACCCTCTCCATGGTTACCTGAGGGAGTTTTAAAGGCCAGACCAGTATCAGGTTCTCTGCATTGGAGAGGCCACGCTGTGGGCACCACCAACATGGTCACATACCCTCCACCCTGGATTACAGAGTATAGCGCAAGCACAGCCAGAAAAACTGAGCTAATGCAAATATAAACTGTGATGATGAATATTCAGTTCTGAGTGTTTAGATTAGACCCTGCAGATGCAGCTCCACATAAAACAATATACTTTCATGAACAAATATGTGCAGATCTTCATTTAGAACACAACAGGACTCACCTGGCTACTACTTCATTGTCAACTTTTACAATACAGTATGGATCACTGGTTCCAGAGCTGAAGATGACAAGAAAAACAAGGGACATCATGAGACATACCATAATAAGCAGTTTGTCTGATGGTAAAATGAACCTCCTCTTAAATTTAAACAATTGACTATCACATTTCTTCAAGATAATTACACGAGACAGGGTAGCACAGCAGGAAAAAACCTTTTAGATGTAAATAGGACTTTTTTCCCCCATGTAATCTGACAAGAAGCTTCTGAACAATGTTGTGGCTGTGTAGTCTCCATCCTGCGAGTTGAGACTTGAGCACAGAGCCACATGCCTCTCAGAGTAATACTTACACGTCTTTGGCGGGGAGGTTCCTGCCCTCGACAATACGGAAATAAAGAGATGTGTTTTGGGCCATTTTAGAGTCGAGTGCGGTAATAATCCGATGTTCCTCCGATGTTCCCATGTGCGGGCTCTTAGAAGCAGCGCTCTCCTCCTCCGCTGCAACTCAGTTTCCTTCGCTTCATGGCACCTTCAGCGCGTGACGGCGCACGGCTCTCTCTCCAGCAGCGCGCAGCACAGGCGCGCGTCCACATCCAGATCCTGATCCAGATCAGATGCAGATCAGATCCAGATCAGATCCAGATCCAGAACCTGATCCAGAACCGGATCCAGCCCAGTCACAGGAGCAGGTGGGATACTGTGGAGCACACACACACACAGACACACACACACTGCGCTTTGATTGAATGGACCATCATACAAGTAAATGTCAACATGAATAAACTGCCCTCTGTTTTAAAACCTGACACCGTTCACCATCTGTTTCTACCTGACGTCAGTGCGTCTTCCACAGAATTTGTGACAGTCGTAAGTATGCTGGGTCACACCTGACAATTACATTCAGGAGCGCCCCTTCTTTGTCTAAACGCGCCACCCAGTGAGCATATTGAGCTACTGCAGGTGCATTTACATACAGGCATCTTGGCAGCCACCTCCCCGGGGTCCTCACTGAAGTGCATGTTAGCTGATAAACAAAACGTCAGAACAGCACAGCTAAAATCAAGCTTTTTTCCACCTCTCGTGTTCTTTATGGAACCTATCTTAACTTTTCATAGCAGGCGGACATCATTATATGCAGGCTAGTCTCCTAAAGACATCACATTGTCTTGTTTCCGGGACCTTTACACTGTGAAAGCAGTGAAATTAGCTCAAACTGCTGTTAGCTTGGTTAGCTAGCTGGATGTGTTGAACAGCAGCCTCTTGTTTTGCTCTCATTCTTCCAGTGAAGGAGATGGATGGTTATCCCGGGGTCACTGGTGGGGATTCAACCAAGCAACAGGAAAGACATTACTACCTGTTGTCAGAGCTGCAAACCTTAGTGAAAGATTTACCCAGGTAATGCTGCCTTCCCCTCAGAGAAGTGATCACAGCGTCTCAGGTTTATCTGTGTGAATGATTTATTGACTGGCCATTGTTGTTATTCTCCTTTGTTAGCTCCTTCCAGCAGCGCCTGTCCTACAACACGCTGAGTGACCTGGCTCTGGCGCTCATAGATGGGACGGTGTATGAGATCGTGCAGGGGCTCCTGGATATTCAGCATCTGACTGAGAAGAATCTGTACAACCAGAGGCAGAAGCTGCACGGGGAACACCAAGGTCAGTGCGTCACAGAGAACATGCAGTGACTGATCTGGTCTGTTCACAAGGGGAAGCCTGTTATGAGCTTGTTACCTGAGTAATACATGAGTAAAATCAGGAGTTCCTCTGAAAAACACTATGCAGAGTAGCAAACCTGCTTCATAGAACGGGCCCTTTTTGTTGAGGTTGGTAACTGCAGATGTTATTGTGATGCTTGAGTGGTTATTTTTTGTGTGTGCAGCACTCAAACAAGAGCTTTTACGAAAACACAAAGATGCTCTGCAGTCCTGCAAGTCTCATAACCTTGGGCTTCTCAAATCAAACCAACAATCAGAAGTAGAGGTGAGGCAGTGAAATCCGTATGCCACTGTTTGCAAAAAGGGCTGGTTATTGTCATATGTCTACATGTTGATTAGTCTACTAACATCATTTATCATCAGGCTCTGGACATACGTGTGCGAGAGGAACAAAAAATGATGGATAAGAAGATCGTAGCTGAAATGGATCAGAAAGTGATAGACCAGCAGAACACCCTGGAGAAGGCGGGAGTCCCTGGGTTTTACATCACCACTAATCCTCAGGTTTCCATCTTTGACTGTCCACTTACTGAAGTTGAAATCCATAGTTATGCCATGAATAGTGGGGTGGGATACAAACATGCACTTTTTCATACAGATAAATGTCCAGCACATGGCGATGTATGTCCTCACCGCCTGCTCTTGTGTGTTTCAGGAGCTGACAATGCAGATGAACCTACTTGAACTGATCCTCAAGCTTCAACAGAAGGAGTCACAATCTGGATTAATATGAGGAAGATTACAAAGAATCCTCATTGTAGCATAAAAACCAACGGCATATACTCACAATCCATTTACTGTGAGATTCACCGTGTCTCAGTCAACATGTTACTTACATTGCTGTTTTTAAGAAGCAGCAAGTTCAGAGAATGTTGAACACATGTTTTCCCGAGTGTTATTGTCATCACCATCATAAGCCGGTTGGAGAAGGCTGATTCTAAAGTGTTCAAGTAAGATGTTTAATGGATTTGTTTTGCTTCAAATCCTTTAAAGACACATTAAAGGACATGAAGAGAGGACCAGACATGGCTGTACGTGGAAATAAGGCTGTGACCTTCCTGAAATAAGATTATTTTTTAAGTGCCTCTTGGTGCCTTTGGAGCAGTCAGTGATGTTTGAGGTGAAAAGGAAAGTTTAATTCCTTTTGGTGTGAACAGAGATCTAATTTTGAGCAGCAAGTGTGTACGAACATTAAATATGAAGCCGAAATTTGTACCTGCTCAAATTTTTTATTGCGTTTTTGCGATTCCTAAAGTCGTTTTGGCAGGTTGTGTGAAAACCTGATGTTTATTTAAATCAGCTGCTGTACATTCGAAAAGTGGACCAGCTGTGACTCACCTCACCTCAATGTTCAACTCAAATATCTAAAATAGAAATAGGGGGACATGTTTCTGTTCCAGTGTTCTGTCTCTGCTCCGAACAGACAGATATGGGTTCACGTCAGGTGTTGAGCTATCCTCTATATAACTGCATTGATATTTAGAATATGTCTACTGATTTTCTATTACACAAATGTCAGCTTTAATAAACAAATGTTTTTGTAGTTTCTTGAAACATCTGAATATTTGAATCATTTTCATTGAATTGAGTTCTGTTGACACTGATCTTTTTCATGACTTATTTGGAAAGTACTGTTAGTGGTCCAAACTGCTACCGGTAGTCCTCTGACCAGGTCCAACAGCACTTCTGCGATCACATCCATCTTCTTTGCAAACTGTAAGTTAATTTTTGATCACATATAAAGCCCCATGACCAGACACCTGACCACAGTGTGATTTACTCTGCCTCAGCTGACAGGGTTTTAATATCTGCCCCCTGGTGCATAAACTGCAGGTGATGGAGGATGATTGCTCTTTTTCTCATGCACACATAATGACATTTGTTTTCCTGTTGGCACTTGAACCTGCTCTGTGTTGAGTTAGCACTGTTTGATTTTGTTCTTATGACAGCAACTGGTCATGTGAACTGTTTAAATATACAGTAATGTTTCTCACTTAAACTTCTTGCATATGTTATAAAATTATGATTCTCAAACATGTTGCTTTCATATTTAAGGGATAGTTCACCCAAAAATGAAAATCCACTGATCTATTTACTCACCACTGTGACAATGGAGGGGTGGGTCAAGTGTTTGAGTTCACAAAACAATTTAGGAGTTTCAGGCGTAAAACGCATTGAAACCAAAACCAATACAATTGAAGTAAATAGTGACCTAATCTTCAAACGTAAAAAAGACCCCAGAAACAAATAACATTAAATACCCCCATACTGCTCCTGTGGTGTCATCCTAGTGTCTGTAATGTTCTTGGCCTAAACGTCCGCTGTTATCATTCTCTGGAGCTGCATTTATGTGTGGATCACTGACATTTAGGCCAAAAACATGGTGCAAATGACCTTGATTCGAGTTGAATTTGAATGTCGGGCTCCTGGACACTTGGGTGACATCACAGGAGGCTTTTTTTGTGGTCACCATTTACTTTAATTGTATTGGATTTGGCTGCAACACTCTTTTCCCCTGAAACTCCTGAAATGTTTTATGGACTCAAACACTTCACCCACCACTTCATCTGCATAGTGGTGACTAGATAATGAGTGGATTTTCATTTTTTAACTATGGGCGAACTATCCCTTCAAGGTGCTTAATTCTCTTATATAATTCTGATTCTTAAACGTTTTCACTTTTACATTGAATATATTTTATGCACAGTGAGGCCCGAGGACCTCCAGTGGGCCCATCTGCTGTGGATAATCCCTCCCTGTGTAAAAAGGGTGGGATCTATTACTCAGTCTATGGGTGGGCTGCAGTGGGGAAGCCCCGTCAGTGGCACAGAGGTGACTGCGCCTTTAAGAAGCGTGCTGGCTTTATTCTCGCGCACCTTCTGCTCCATCATCACCAGACGATGCGCCCCAGCAACTTCCAGCAGCAGCAGCAGCAGCGGACCTGCAGCAGATGATCCTGAACCACTAAGGTAAAACCCTCTTCATATCTCCCATGTTACTGCTGATCTCTCATCCCTCTCTCTCTCTTTGTGTGTGAATATATCGCGGATCCCGTCAAATAATCCCACTCCGCTCACGATCGAAAAGTGCGACGTCGCTCCCTGGCAGGCTACACGCAGGAGAGAGGAAGTCTAATGATCCTCACTTCTTATAAAATATTCATTTTCCATTAAACGACGCTTGCTGCAGTGTTGGTCTCCCCGCGGTTACATGTGTGGACATGTGTAGTGGACGTCGATGTTTCAGTGTCTACGAGTCGTGTGTTTTGAGGCACCGGGTTTATTTCTAAAGGGAAATAAAGCCTTACGTAATTAAAACGGAGGCATCCTGCTGTCGCCATATGCCCGTCTGTCTATCTACCGAGGGCTGGGATCTGATGTAGCTCCACCCGAACCAGGAGGATATTTCTGATGAAAAGACTAAACATGTTGTGTGAAGTTAAACAAATCTAATAAATAAGGGCATGTATCTCCATGATCTATCGTTGCTACATTACAAGATCTCACGTTACACACCAGCGATGCCTTTTAGATGACGTGGTCTGTCCCTTCACTGTGATGTTAAGCTTCCATGCGGCACACACTCAGGCCTCGTTAGATAAAACAGAAACGCAAATTCGAAAACTGTCAAATATACCACATCAGAAAAAGACTGACACGTTGGTTTGATATTTACTTTACTTTACTTTTATTTAATCTGACATTCTGCTTGTAAAAACCCTGTTTCTATAACTCATTGGAAAGCAGGTGTTACTGTTATAACCCTATTTCAACCGGAAATGTAATATTTCTGTTTCAAATGAAACAAATCATTTATTTATAGAGCGTATTGAGCTTTCTATTCCCTCAACTCTGAAGTAATGACTTCATGAACTTCCTTACAAATAATATTAGAACCATAATAGAAAAAAGTCATCACCTCATCCACGGCTAGCATAGATATATTGTCCAGCACAGTAGTCTTGTAGCCTGATTTATATGAAATTTTTATTGAATTATTAATATTGTTATTAATAATTAACCACCTATATATTCCTATTCTAAACTCAGACACAAAAGAAAGTATTGTAATTGTAAAAGTAAACTGTTATGATTATGATTGTTATTACCATTATTAATCCGAGCTGCCCTCAGTGCTGCTGTTATTATTAATAAGACTGTTGTATATTGTTGTCATTGTACATTTATTGATCAGTACTTTCCATAAATATAGTGGCTGAGCTTGGAAAAGAGTTCTGTCGGCAAAGTGGCGTGGGATAGCTCTTCACTTAGGCCTACAGTACGTGTCCATTAGCAGATCTGAATATAATGTTTTGAGTCCTGCAGACTTACAACAACATGTCAAGCTATACAGCTAAAGCCTTAAGCTGAACCGTCATCCAAAAAAGTCAGACCACATAATTCTGCAGTGGCTTGTCCTGTTCTGATTATGAATATGCTTGTGCTGTGTCTTCCAGGTCATCCTTATAGACGGGTAATGGATCCAGTTTCACTGGTATAACACCATACTGCCCTGCTGGCCTGTCTCACTCTGTAGCTATGGCAACTTGTCCAACAGGCTGCGCACCAGCGGTGCGCCTCTGTCAGAGACTGAACCGACTCAAGACACTGGATGATGACATGATGGCCACGTCGCTGAAACGCTGCCTCTCCACCCTGGACCTGACTCTGCTGGGTGTTGGTGGCATGGTGGGCTCTGGCCTTTATGTCCTGACAGGGACAGTGGCTAAAGACATGGTCGGGCCTGCCGTCATCATATCCTTCATTTTTGCAGGTTTTGCTTCTTTATTGGCTGCCTTTTGTTATGCAGAGTTTGGAGCACGCATTCCCAAAACAGGATCCGCCTACATGTTTACCTACGTTTCCGTGGGAGAGATCTGGGCCTTTCTCATTGGTTGGAATGTGATTCTGGAGAACATGATTGGTGGTGCTGCTGTGGCACGTGCCTGGAGTGGCTATCTGGACTCCATTTTTAATCATGCCATCCAGAACTTCACAGAGACACACATTATGCAGTGGAACGTGCCCATCCTTGCCCATTACCCTGACCTACTCGCAGCAGGGATCCTAGTCGTTGCCTCATTCTTCATTTCCTTTGGAGTTCAAGTGTCCTCTTACCTCAATCACATCTTCTCCACCATTAGTATGGCTGTCATCATTTTCATACTGGTGTTCGGTTTTGTTCTGGCTGAACCAGCCAACTGGAGCCAGAAAGAAGGAGGCTTCGCACCTTTCGGGTTGTCTGGAATACTTGCAGGCTCAGCCACGTGCTTCTATGCATTTGTGGGATTTGATGTAATTGCATCCTCAAGTGAAGAGGCAAAGAATCCACAGAAAGCTGTTCCCATTGCCACTGCCATCTCCCTTGCACTGGCAGCGACGGCCTACATCCTGGTTTCCACAGTGCTCACACTAATGGTACCCTGGCATACGCTGGACCCCAACTCTGCTCTGGCCGATGCTTTCTTCCGCCGTGGTTACAGTTGGGCTGGAGTAATTGTGGCAATAGGTTCTATCTGTGGTGAGTGTAGACCATTAACTGAGAAGTGCAATTTAAAGCAACACTATGCAACTTTTAATGAGCAACAACAGCAGCCCCTGCAGCCACATGTGGTGATTTATTCTGTTGGGCTCCATGTACAAGTGATTGAGTGATTTTCATGTAGACTTAAACTGAGGGGTAAATATTACCCATGATCCCCAGCTTCCTGAACCACAAAAGCTGCTGCTGTAACAAATTTGCCAAACTCTGTTTTGAACGCTTTGAACTATGTTAACTCACTGGATATTAGAGATGGATCCTAAAGTCTTTTTACCTGATCTACAGTCTGGTATTACGACACAGTCACACATAAACATATGTAAAGCGAGTATCACGGGTCAAAGTTTAATGCAGTTGAACTCTACGTGAAACTCAGCTGCAATGCAGTCTTGCAACTGGAAGCAAAAGTTTTATTCCCCCTCGGCAAAGGTTAACTACTGCTCTATTCACGCATTTGTGACCGTGCCCTGACTCTGATTGTGGCACTGCTACAACAATCAGTCAGTTCCACACTTCCTGCTCACCAAAGTAACATGGAGCAAGAACAGGCTCTGAGGAATGGGAATGAAAGCAGCACCATTCTCCCTATTTCAAGATAGTGTATCATCAAACTCAGTTTCAAGCTTCTATTTTTAGGTTAAAAAGAACACATAGTGTTGCTTTGAATGGCTGTTTGTAAATGTTGTTTATCTGCACTGTGTTATATTTTGTGTTATGTTCTAATCAGGAGTCTCTGTTTCCATTTCCAGCCATGAACACTGTGCTGCTCTGTAATCTCTTCTCCCTCCCTCGGATCGTGTATGCCATGGCAGAGGATGGATTGTTCTTTTCCATTTTTGCGCGTGTCAATCCCATCACCAAAGTCCCTGTCAATGCTATATTGGTGTTTGGAATCCTCATGGCCATCATGGCTCTCATCTTTGACCTGGAGGCCCTGGTTCAGTTCCTTTCCATCGGCACACTGCTGGCGTACACCTTTGTGGCAGCGAGCGTCATTGTGCTACGTTTCCAGC